TCCTCCTCCTCCTCCTCGTCCTGCTCCCACTGCTCCTTATCCATGATGCTGAGCACGTCGCCGAGCATGGAGGGCCCCAGGTCGATGTGGAAGGACATGATGGACTCGGCGTGCTTCATGCCCGCCCCGCCGCGCGCCGCCGCCGCCACCACGGGCAGCTCGGCGATGTCCCCAAAGTCGCGCTCGTCCAGGCCGGGGGGGCTCGGCGGGCGGGCGGCCGCCCCGTTGGGCCGCGCCGCCTCCTCGGGGCTGCTCTCCTCGGGCGGCTTCTTGACGGGGCTGGAGGAGAGGCTCTTGGGCAGCGGCGCCGCGCCGCGCTCCGCATCCTTCTCGTTGAGCTGCGGCAGCGACACGGCGTTCTTGACGAAGAGCGCCGAGTCCCGCAGCGAGCCCAGCATGTCGCGCCGGTCGCCCCGCGTCACCGACTGCGAGCGCTTGCTGCTGCGGAAGCGGCGCGACAGCAGCCCCGGCTTGGAGGCGCCCGGCTCCTCGGCGCCCTCCGGCTCGCCCGCCTTGCTCGTGAGGAAGGACGTGTCCCCGAAGGCGTCCCCGGCGCGGCCCACGTGCATGGTGTGGCGGAAGTCCCCCAGCGGCGCACTGATCATCTCGGCCGTCAGGTCGGCCCGCGAGCGCCGCTTGGAGTGGGCCGAGTTGGAGACGAGCTGCTTGAGGATGGGCATGGTGGCGGGCGCGAGCGGGGCCCCGCGCGGCACGGCCGCGGCCTCCGGGCACCGGTCAATCCTGCGGGAGAGGAAAGAGGGACACGGTCAAGCTCCGGGACCAGCGAGCGACAAGGCCCTGCAGATGGCACTTCGGATGGGCAAGGCTGCAGAATACATGCATGCACAGCCACACGCATGCACAGCCACACGCATGCATGCACACATGCATTCATGCACACATGCATGCAGTGCTGCATTCGCAGCCTGGCATCCTTTCTCCTTCCCCGCCGCAAAAGGCTCTTCCCATCCAGACCCAGGCATGGCCCTCAGGAGGACGGTCCCCAGACCTCCCCGAGCCCCCCGCAGACCGCGGGACACACAGACACACAGGCTGTGTCCTGGGGTGCAGCGAGGCAGCCCCCAGGCCCCCCGGGATGAAACCCCAGCAGCGAGCGCAGGCTCCTGCCTTGGCGCGGCTCCGCGTCACCAATCCCGGCTGGCTCCGCAGCGATGGGGACAGCAGCCCCCAGCCCACCCCATGAGACGCCCCCAGCACCGGGGCTCACGGGCAGCCCTGCTGCCCGGCTCAGCGGAGCAGCAGGACGGACACCGGGGGGGACCCGCAGAGGGTCCCGGCCGCACGCAGCCCAGCGCCGAGCGGATGCCTGGGATTTTTTGGGTGTTTAATCGCCGGAGCGCAGGGAGGAGCGGCCGCCAGCAGCAATTGGAACCAGACGGCAGGAAGTGTGCGAGGAGCCCCCGGGAGGCACCGCCGGGCCGGCTGCGGTGCACGGGGCCGCCGCGGGACGGACGGATGGACGGACGGACAGCAGCGCCTGCCCTGCCGGGACCCACTCACCCTGCCTGGGGACAAGGGGACACGGCCCTGCTGCGGTCCCAGCACCCTGCGCCCCATCCTGCTCCCTGCAGAGGAGCTGCACGCAAGTGCTGAGGGATGTCGAGGCATCCAGGACAGGCAGGAATTGAGAGCTCCTGCTGCCAGCGCGGGCAGCAGAGCTGAGGACAAGCTGTGGACGAGCTCCTGCAGCCAGCGCACACAGCCCCGCGCACGGCGGGCACCTTGCAGCACCCCCTTCCCAAACCTGCCCTGGGCACGTCGGCCGTCTTGCGTCTCCTCCAGCGGAGCCTCGGGCAGGCTGGACTCCGACCCGCACGGGAGCAAAGTCCTGGCACTTGGCTCCTCTCCGCGCTCCTCCCGGTGCTGCTCCCGGCCCCAAGCAGCTCCTGGCACCGCGCGCCCGCGCTCCCCAGCTTCCCGCCTTGCAGCTTCCCCGGAACGAGCCGGGCGCAGGAAAAGAGCCGCTCCGCAGGGCACGGGGCCCCCCAGAACGCTCCGATGGCCGTTACCTCCCGGGCGGCAGCAGCAGCTCTGCGCGCTGGGCGCTCCGGCGGCTCGGGCGCCTCGAGCGCAGCCGGGCAGCTCTCCCCTCCCTCGCCGGCCCTCTCCATTTGTCCGCGCACAATGAGCCGGGGGGAGCGGGCCCGGCCCCTGCCAGGTTCCCACGCGGGCCGCGCGCATGCGCCCGCCCGGTGCCACGGGCATTTTCCCTTTGCAAGCTCTCCTTTCAGGCTGGCATTCCTGCCGCCTTTGCTTTCACATAAAGCAAACGCTCCCGGCGAGCTCCCCTGCCGGGCGAGGCAACGGCGCTGCTGAGCGAGGCCATCTGGGGACTGTCCCTCCCTCTATTTAGATTTCGGAGCCAAGTTCGCTGCTTGCGAGATACTTTGCAAGCCTCGCGGAGGGGCCAGCGGGAGGTTGCAGCGCTACCCGAGTGCTCCGCGCGCTGCCGTGGCCCCCGAACACCCTCCACGAGCCCCCCATTCGCGGCACTCAACCCTCCTGTTGGCAGCTCTTAGCACCCAATCCACCCCATAGGTGCACGGGGGGACATGGGAGGAGGCCCCTGCGCAGCCCCCCTGCCCTCGGGCACCTCCCGGGGCAACGGCACAGAGCCGTCTTTCCTTGGCGCGTCGGGTGCGGATCCGGTGACATTCACAGCACGGCCTTTCACAAAGGAAAGCAGGACGGCCCAGCCGCCCGCCAGCGCGTCCCAAGCGCCACGGGGAAACCCGAGCGGTGGCTTTGCAGCCTCGCGGCCCACAGACAGCGCTGGGGGCCGGACCCGCTCCCGCCTGCGCCTCTCCTTGGGACCACCACCAGCTCCCCAGTTTGGCCACCTCCCGTGTGGGCAGGAGCAGCGGGGCCGGGCTTGCAGCCCCCATGGCCAACACCGCTGCTCTCCCGTCCATCCATTCAGCATTCCTGGGGCTCCCTGCAGCCGCAGCCCGTTCAGCACCAGCCGCCCCACGGCACCACAGGCCCTGGCAGCTGACGACGCCAGCGCAGCCAGAAGGCGGCCGGGTCCGGGCGCGCTCCCACGGTGCGCCCGGCGCCACGCGGAAGCATCCCGGCCGGCCCGGCCGGTCCCGGC